TAATTACATTCCAAGTGGCAGTTTGTTACACATCAAACATATGGCACGTTGCTGCCGCTATTTAACTTTTTGCTCTTCCCCACCAGTTGTTAGCACTTTAATGAATACCTTTAAACATGTATAAATCCCAATGGAGAGCACTCGTGTTCTCTGTGTGATTTCATTCAAATAAACTATTATGGCAAGAACATTTGCTAGTCTGATTTCACAGTCATCTGACAACTGTCCCCTGATAACCAATGGTAGGCGCTTCTCCATAGTGACTGGCTTGGAAATATATTTTTGACAAAAAAAAATCACTTGAAACTTTTTTCTAGTTTCTCCTTTATCATTTATCCTGTAGTAAGAGCTGCAATAGCAGCTGGACCAACAGAAAATCTTGCTTGCGTTCTTTAATTGACAACTGGGCTGTCACTAATTACACTAATATTTCCTTGATGCTTCTTTTGCCCAAGCAGCTGGGGTTCTTCATATTCAACTAACATTTCTCAACAGAAGATACATCATACTGACTTACATAGACCAAATCAAGTCATTTATACTTTCAAAGAAACGAATGTCGAGATAGCTTCTAGAGTATATAAAAAAGATTCAGTTTATTTTACTTTAAGAAAGTATTCTACCTTTTACAGAAAACTTGGAAACTAGGGTTTTGAACCTGTCCAAAAAAAGGGCAATTGTATTGGCAAACACTTGCCAACTTTAAAGCTTCATCAAAGACATCTGTCAGTATAAAATTTTCTAATTCTGGCAAGCAGTGTTAGCTTTTGTCTATTAGGATTGCGTTTGGCTGTATATAAAAGTAATGCTTCAATGTAGGTTTATCCTTGGTAAAAAAGAAAAAAAGGACTGTTCCGGTGCATGATGTTTCAACGGGGAAGCTATGCATGTGTGAGGGCAGGAGATACATGGGGAATCTGTATCTTCCTCTCAATTTTGTTGTAAACCTAACACGGCTCTTTTAAACAAAACACCTCAGAAATGAATAGAAAATTAAAATTATATATTTAAAACCAAAATATAAATTTATTTTTGTTCTCAGGTAAACCAAGTCCAGAGGTAGAAAGTCTGGATTTGGATCTGTTTCACTGTAACAAACGACCCACGCTCCTTTGATCTGCTTTGTCATCTTAGCCTATGGTCTCCATTCTCAGGACTCCCCCATGGTATAAAATGGGCTGCTGTGTTCCATTCATCACATCCAAATTTCAGGGAGTAGAAAGGAAGGAGGTAGAAAAAAATCAGAAGTGCCCATGACCAAGCTAAGTCAGCCTCCTTTAAGCAGCCATTCCAGAAGTGCCCTGTAACCCGTATACCTTCATAGCCATGGTTAGTACTTCATCATAAGACTATACTTAACTGCACAGAATGCTGGGGAATAGATCCTCTTTTTCTGGGCACATTACTGTCCAGAATAAAATCAGGATTCTGTTACTAAACAGAAGAGAAGCGATATGGGGTAACAATTCACAGTCTGTACCACATTTTTTGTCTGGTGCTTTTACATTAAATTTCACACAGCTATTAAAAATAATGAACGAGAGCTATGCTAATTGACTTGGGGTGTTGGGCTGGGAAGGATCTCCCCAAGGATTATTGAGTGAAAAAAGCAAAATGCATAAAAGTGATAAAATATGGTTCTATTTTTTAGTAACACAGAATGACAAAAATCTGTATATATAAATGCAAATATATATGCAAATGATAAATAGTTGACTCTTGAACAACACAGGTTTGAAGTGTGTGGATACACATATGTGATTTTTCTCAATAAATATATAGTCAGCCCTCCTTATCCCCAGGTTTCGAATTCCCAAACTCAACCAACTGGGAATTAAAACCAGTACTTTCCATCTGTATTTGGAAATCCATGGAAGTGGATGGCCAACCCTTATATGTCATTTTATACAAAGGACTTGAGCATCTGTGGATTTTGGTACCTGGAGATGGGGAGTCCCCTGCAGATACCAATGGACAACCATGGCTAAGCTTTGGGGAGTGAGAAGTATACATAGACATTCGACTGTGTGGGAGTCGACACCCTTCATACCCAGTTATTCAAGGGTCAACTGTGTAAATAAATGAATAAGGAAGGATTTCAGGATATATAGTCGGTTGTCAACTGTCATATCTGGGCAAGGGGAAAGGAGATGAGTATCTTTGTGTGATTCCCATGTTTCACTTGTTATAATAAGCATGTGTTATTTTTGTAATTTGAAAATAGAAAAGTTTTTTTTAATGTAGCAGTTTCCAGATCAAAATGTCAAAACACCTTACATTACATATAAAAATTAAGTGAGTCTGTGATGGAGTTTATCCTAGGGGATCTTAACAAATAACTTAATAAGCCTTCAATACAAACCAGTTTACTAAAGTTGTTTTAAATTATTTATTTACAGAAATTATTTATTTAGAGAGCATGTTAGCTAGGTAACATTAGGGAGAATATTGTATTTTTTGAGCTAATAAATATTAACAAATGTCTATAAATATTTAAATATAATGTAAGGCAGAATGCTATCACAATATATATCTTTGCTGAATTACATGGTATTTAGCATTTATGAAATTAAACAAATAACCTTTAGGAATTAAATTAAATATTTGCTTCTTTAATGACATTTAGACCATGAAACTGTCATGAAAAGTCTTTTTGGAGAATTATTCACACATTACGAGAAGAAAATCACTCTCATGTCAACTTGGCTTCAGCAAAATTTCATAAAGAAAAACCTCCTAAATCATGTACAACAACATCATATTATGTTCTATTTGACCCAGACATAAAAAAGAATATGAAGAGTATGAAAAAATGAAGACACATAAATTAATCCCCTGCCTACTTAGATGGCTATTTGGCATGAAAAATGTCTGTTGTAGTGAATTGAGGTGAAGGCTAGCAGTTGTCAGTGCTGAGACATTATTGGTCCTGCACTGTAAGGTCAAAAAATTTATCAATGGCTATTACATTTTTAATAATAATAATATTATAATAATTTCAATGTAAAATCTCAGATTTAAACTACATCCAAAGATGTCATCCAATAATGGCAATATTTATTTGGCTTCTGCCTTGGTTGTAGTCTTACTAGGTCATTTGGCATCAGGCCCAAAATTGTTCAGTGGTCCACTGAATAGAAAAGTTGCATTGGATAAACAGTGATGCTTTACAGCAAATGATTCTTCAGAAACACTAAGATATACAATAATGACTTGGGGAGATTGTAATAAATGTCCCTCTCCTTCAGTACACATTCTGAGTCAGAAATAGCCATTATAAACAAGCCTACCAAGATCTTTCTCTGCCTGTCACAGGATCATGTTTTGAGAAACGGCTACAATAGAAAACTCTGTTTTAAACTTGATCTTCACCCGTATAAAGTGTCTTCATGTTTGCAAAATAAGAGTCGGCCATGCAAATGGCACTGTCATGAACAAGGAGCTTGAAAAATTATGCTGTCATTTAGTAAATTTTTTAAAAACTAGAATATGATTCAAATTCTTAGTCCTGGACCACATTTTTCTTATTAGTGAAATGTGGCCAACTTGATGAAGCTAGTAGGTAAATATGTAAGCCTATTTTTATAAATGTTTTAACTGTTTTTGCAAGGCTAGAGTGGTGAATTTCTCTTCCTGTGGTGGGTGTACAGTCACAGTGGGGGGGGGGGGGTTGGCAAACATGCATCAAGTGAGGATTCAAATTGGAAAATAGTGAGTAATTATTATACTCAGGAACCATGAGCCCAATCCTAAAATAAATGTATGGCTTTCAATTCCTAACTCTATTTTCTGTTAAATGATAGCAGTCATCTAAGTGATGTTGTGCTGGGAATCAGGACATTCTAGAACATCTTCGTTCCAATTTCATAAATCTGTATCTTCAAATAAAACCCCCAAGTGCAAATAACACATCTCAAACACTTTGTAAATCATTTTTCTGTGTTGGTTCCTTCTCTCAATCTTTAGCCAAAACTAGATCTGGGACAGATTCCAGGTCAGGACAAAACTGCAAAATTCCATACTCCCCATTCTTTGGTTATTTTGCCTTGAATTGAAGCGGATACTTGGCAATTAGCCACTGGGGAACTCAAATTTTCCTGATTCCCTCTCTTCATTAATCAAGTTGACCAAATAGTTTCTAAACGTTCCGTCAGTTTCGTACCTTCCTGTTACCTCCCAGTATGTAGCCTTTCTGTCTCAGGAACTATAAACGTAAAAGGGTTCTTAAAAATAATCCAGTCTCGCCAACCTACTTGACAATTTGGAAGCCGAATCCAGCTTTCTGGGGGACTTGTTCAAAGTCAAGTGGCTTGAGCTAGGTGCAGAACTAGGACAAGGACTCTGACTCCGCAGACGAAGCCTTTGGGGAGGGTCCCCCCCAAATGCCCCGTGGGAGTGATTCACGACGGTCTCAGGCAGCGGAGGAGGAGCAGAGCAGGACTCTGCCCCGACTTTCGGCTCCTACATTGAGGGCAGGTTCTGGGGGGGTCGGTTAGCAACATTTGAACTTAAGGCTTGCGATTTAGATTCCAGAACCACGTGCTCTTTGTAAAGATACTTAATATTTAACTTCTTTATAGGAAGGTAACCAGTACAAACCTGTGCAGTCACAGCTGTCCAATATACTTTGAGCCCTTTCCTTCCCTCACTTGGGAATTAAAATCATTAAAGGGACTAACAAGGGGCAAAGTACCTAGAATAGAACGAGTTAAGGCTTAATATTATCAGTGACTATCATTACACGGTCAACCTTTAAAACGCTGACTGCTTGCTGGCTAGAACGCTAAACGCAGTCTAAAAGCTCTTTAATCTAGCTCGTAACTGCGCAGGTACGCCCTGTGAGAGCTCGAGCACCCAGCGATTTTCCGGCCTAGGCGCAAGCTCCGCCCCCAGGACACGCCCCTTAAAGCGCAAGCACCAGGGTCAGGCGCGCGCTTGTCTGGGTGTAAGGTAAACAGAGGGCCGGCCCAGGCGGTGGCGCATTTGCTTCCGGGGCTAAAGGAGTTTCATTTCCGGGAGGAACCGCTGAACAGGTAGCTGGCGCTGAAGGAAGTGTTTGAATCCCTTCGTGGTCCCGGGCCTTGGTCCGGGGAAACTAGGTATGAAGATCACGAGGCAGAAACATGCGAAAAAGCACCTCGGCTTCTTCCGCAACAATTTCGGAGTTCGCGAGCCGTACCAGATCCTGCTAGATGGTACCTTCTGCCAGGCGGCGCTGCGGGGCCGCATCCAGCTGCGGGAGCAGCTGCCCCGCTACCTCATGGGGGAGACACAGCTGTGCACCACCAGGTGGGCGCTCCCGGCGCGGGTGGCGGCGCGGGGCACCCGCGGGTGTCGTAGAGACGAGGCCACCCCGGTGAGCCCCCGAGGTGCGAGGCGCCCCGCCCACGAGGAGTCGACAGTTGGTGGTGGTTCTGGGGAGGGCAGGGGGGTAATACGCGCAATGCAGGCGGAAAGTGCCCTGACATGGCCACGTGTCCTTAGCCTTGAGATTAAGACCACGTGCTCTGTAGTCCAACTTGGCTTTGAGGCCTGGACTCAGTCATCCTAGCTCTGTTATCTCCTGCAAGTTTTTTAAACTTTCTGAGCTTTGGATGTATCTTTTCATCTATCCAAAGAGAGGCCGCAACTGCTTGTAAGGTCGCCAGAGTGTCAGGTGAGGAAGTACAGAGAATGTGGAGCAGTTGTTGGCATCTGAAACCCACCCCTTTTAAACGGTGGTGGTGATTTGCATCCCTTTTCCTAATTTACGTTGAAAAGTTTCAAGCTTCACGACTGCCCTGTGAGTTGACATCTTGCATTCCCAAAAAGATGAGTCGGGACTGGAGATGACGCCTTTGCCCAAGGCCATTGGTTAATATTCATCTGCCTGGTTTAACACCAACCTCGCTCCAAGCACTGCTGTCGCCACTGAGGGTCGCTTGGTGAACAGGACTAACTCCCGGCCCTGGTGCCCGAGAAAGTGCGCGTGCCAGCCTCCAGTCCACGTGCTTTGTCCCCGGGGCTAGTGTCCCCATGTCCCCTTGTGGGGAGGGGAGGGAGAGGTGAGGATCGTCAGGGTTTTACGGAAGACAGAAAACTTTTGAGTCCGGTCACAGGTCAGTTCCGAGGGGAAGGAGTATTTTGAGTGTCAGAAAAGAGGTAAGTGACGTTCCTTGTGAGGCGCTTTTGAACAAAGAAATGATGAGAAGTGGCTGGGAACGAGATTAGGGCCCAGAGTGTCTTTGGGAATGAAACAGGAGAAAAGGTAAATTGAGGCTAGATCATGAAGAACCACTATGTTAAAACTTAGTAGATTTCTTGTTCATTGTAGAACATTACTTTAAAAATATTTACTTGAAAAAAAAAAAAGTTAAGGTGAACCATAATGCCACAGCAGCGAGGAGCCACTGTTGACGTGCGCTGTGACGTGCGCTGTGTCATGCGTGTGTGCGCACAGAAACACGAGGGTGTGCTCCTTCCTGCCTGCACACGGCGTCGCTGGCCCGCTCTTCCCGCGGAACACAGCTCCGTGCACAGATCCCCATAGTCACAACTTCGTGAGCAGTACCCTACTCGGGTGACAGGTGCCCCCAAATGCCCCATCCCCGTAGTGTTCAGGGCTCCCAGCCAAGCCCTGGCATAGCCTTTACCCCCCAGCTGGTTGCTTCTGGCTGTAAGCGGCTTGTCCATTTATCCCCGTGCGCCCTAGAAATGCGGAGATTTTTAATACGGTGCTATAATATAAAAAAGTTGAGATGTACTGCAGGAAATGCTATTCTACAGCATTTTTTCCCCTAAGAATTCATTTTAATTTCTCTCATATTTCATACCTACACAAAAGTAGAATGTTATAATGGACTGTCTGTCACCCAGCTTTACAGTTATCAGTGTGGGCAGCCCACTTTCAACAATCGTTCCCCCTCCTTATTGATGGTTTATTTTAAATCATATTCTGCCAATTCTTGGTGTGTATCATTAAGAGACAAAGAAGGCTTTTTAAAGTCAGAGTTCAAACAAGGTACATAAGTTACACTTGTTTCTATGGTTCTTAAGCCTTTTTTAAAACTGTAACAGTTTTCCTTTGTTTGAAATTTGCTATTTCTGTTTTTTAAGAAATCAGGTCACGTGTTTCTCTGTAGAATTTATTTGCTGCCACTAATAGTTAGATCTTAAACGTTTGCTCATATTTAGGTTTTAAGAAATTTGGAGTTTTCATAATTTGAGGAAGTAGAGCGGCAGAATGTTATCAGACATAACTATCTTTTAGAGAAAAATGACTGCAAAAGTGTGAAGTCCATGTTGTAGAAACGAGAGTGAAGGCAGGCAGGCCTGTTGTGCGATGGTCTGATCTAGAAATAATGATCCTGAACCTGGGAGAGGAAAGGAAGAAACCCAGGGGCTTCCAGGGAGACATTACTGAGACAGGTACCAGCAGCTAAGGTAGGGCTAACAGCTGGGGGATAGGGGTCAGGGTGAGGAATGAAAGGTCATTAGGATTTCTGGTTTCTACCCAGGGTGTCTGGGAAGGTAAGAGTTCAAAGAGCAAGTCCTGGAGGAAAGGAGTTTGGTTTTAGGCTTGGCGGATGAAAACTGGTGGCAGGACATCCATAGGAATTATGTAATAGATAATTTGGGCCTGGAACTCAGAATAGAGGTCAAAACTCATGACAGTAAAAAGCAAAATCTCAAGAAAACAAAAACTAATGGGGTGATAAAGGGAGTCTGGTGAGGGCTGGCTAAGTTTGATGAAATCTTTGACCCAGTAGTTCATTCTCATTCTCTCTCAATGGAAGAAGGGCTAGAAACTTATTAAAATAGTAGTACGTGACTCTTCCATAAGAGGTGCAGATTGGGGATGAGAAAAGATCTAGAGATTAATAAAATTTAATGTCACTGTCATTCTGATATGAATCATTTACAGATGAAACTTGGAAAAACACTGGCTTATATTAATATGAAAATACAGAGTGAAAGGAAGTAGTGGTTATTTTGCAACAACCTGATGACTTGAGAATTTTTACTTTTCTGAGTAGAAGATATTTTGAAGGTGAACCAGTTGGTACTTGAAGTACAAGCACATAGCACTATGGTTGGGGCAAGGTTTCTCTTGTCGAACTATTGGGTAGACCAAAAAGCCCATTTAGTTTTTTCCCCATAAAATAAAAGACTTTTTTTTTTATTTGCACCAATAATTTTGTTGATTGGATATTTTGAGTATGTCAGCTGTCTCCTGCTATTGGTTTCTAGTGAGTACAGGCCAGGGGTGCTGCTAAACAGCTTTCAGGGCATAAGACAGCCCCACAGCAAAGAATTTTTTGGCTAAAATGTCAGTAGTACCAAGAAACCACAAACATCTTTTGACACATTTGATCAGTCACAGCACTTTCCATACACTGCAGAAGCCTTTAAACGTCGATTGCATTTTGACCATTCTGAAAATAATAACACTTTCTTTTTCAGGTGTGTGTTAAAAGAGTTAGAAACATTGGGAAAGGACTTATATGGGGCAAAACTGATTGCACAAAAATGCCAGGTTCGAAATTGTTCCCATTTCAAGAATGCAGTGAGTGGATCAGAATGTCTGCTTTCCATGGTTGAAGACGGAAATCCTCATCATTATTTTGTGGCATCACAGGTGATACTACTTTTAAAACCAGAGCCAATTCTAATCATTTCTAGTCATACTTCATATGGAGCTATTTATAATCAGAAAAATTTAGTGGAGGTGGTTTGTTTTTAAAGTGTTTCAACATCATTAAAATACCAGCTTTTAAGTTAATTTGAAATCAGTAAAAGCAGTTGTCATTAGATAATTTGAGAACCTTAAGCACATTGATTTTCTTCTTAATTACTGGTTTCCTTTTTTAAAATAAAAACATTATTGATATAGAGATACGATGATATGTTTTGGGATTCTTGAAGGGAAAATAAGTAAAGATTTTGCACTCTATTTTTATAAATGTGTTCTCCTGTTCCTACATTTTATACTATTTTTCAAAAAGTCATGTTTCATATTATTTGAGACTGTACCACCAACATCGAACTGTTTCAGGCTTTTCAAAAGACCTGGAGGCAGGGGACCAGAGACTCTCAGGGCTGATGTTAATGAAGGAGTTCACTTTCATACAGATTTGCTTAAATATGCTTTCAGAACTATAAAATTACTTAATTAGAGGCAAAGCTGAATCTAGAATCTGAATCTGCTGATTCCTACTTTACTTCTATTACCTCAGCCTCCGCCAGCATTCTACACCCTCTCTGGAGCATCTCAGAGCACAGGCACCATGTTTACCTTTGCACTGGTTTGTAATTCGTGGTCCCAGAACAGCGATTTTCAACCAGTACAGTACCTGACTATTGAGTCAGGGGCACTTATCTCTTTTTTTCTTAGATTGTCAAATAAAAACATGACAATAACCCAAACAACAATGGCCATCCAGTGTGAATGCCCTGTCTTGAACCATAAATATATAGGTTATATAGTAAGAGTTGCATGTTATTTGTCATATTGCATAATAAAGTTGCATCTGATTGGTTAATTTTTGGTACCAGAAATCCTTACGTACAAGTATAGGCATCTGATTTTTTTACTAGTCACTTTGGAGCAAAAAGGGTAGGAATTACTAGGAGGAGGAGTAAATGAATCAAAATTATACCTGTTTTTTGTGGGGGTTGGATCAGCAGAAAATATATTTTTGGTGCACCACAGCATTTTAGTGACTACTTTAGTGTGGCATGAGATGAAAAAGGCTGAAAATCACTATCCTAGAATATTGATAAGTCCAGTTCACATTGCTGCCACTTAACTATTTGTGCTCAATCTTTATGTTTCTCTTTATTATAAAATACATTGTACTCCCACTGGTGAGACATACTAATTTGAAAAATAACACCTGTGATCTCTTCTGTTTTTAGAAGAGATCTCTTCTCTTGATGTCTTAGAAACCTATCTAAGGCATCTCATTTAATTGACATACTTGAGCTAAATAATTCTATTTTTCTTTTTAATAGGATCAGAATTTGTCTATGAAAGTAAAAAAAAGGCCCGGAGTTCCTCTTATGTTTGTTATTCAGAACACTATAGTCTTGGACAAACCTTCTCCCAAAACAATTGCCTTCGTTAAAGCAGTCGAGTCAGGTCAGCTTGTCTCCATTCATGAGAAGCAGAGTATCAAGCAACTCAAAAAAGAACAGGGTTTAGTGACAAACCCTGAGCAGAGAAGAAGAAAAAAGCGGAAGAAAGTAAGTGGGCCCAATCCTCTTAGCTGTTTGAAGAAAAAGAAAAAAGCACAGGATACAAACCCATCTGCTCCTGAAAAGAAAAGAAAAAGAAAAAGAATACGGAACAGATCAACCTCAAAAGTACTTTCTGAAAAGGAGACTGCAAAAGGATAAGAATCCTTTGGATACTTTGAAAGACATTCAAATGTGAAAAGTACATTTCTTTTTAAAACAAAGTATTTAGGTTAGAAAAAACTTATTTTTGTAAATGGATATTGGTCCATTGTCTTTGCATAAAATTATTTATAAATAAAAAACAAAACAGTAAATGGGTTTAGGAGATTGTTTTTGGAGATTTTGGAGATCGTGCATTGATGTCAGACTATTGTCTCCCTGTGTCTCATCATCATTCCACCCAGCAACATTGTATGGAAATAGTTGAAACAGTCAAATAGTGTCAAAAGGCTTGGGGCAAGAAAAAAGTAGTTGTCTCTCACATTCACAGAGGAAACCCTCTTTCAGCTCATGCAGAGTTTTATATATATAATTTATATTTCCAAATGATATGAATATGCTGCACCCTTTTGATCCATCCATTCTTGACTTTCCACCAGAAAGAATGGAAGTTCTGCTTATGTTGCTCAACCATTTTTCCAGTATAGTGATACATCCTAAATTCAGTATTTTTATATGACTATAAACCTTAGAATCCGCTGAACCAAGTAGCATGCTGTGATTGAATTTTTTACACTATTTTTTTGTTATTCTAGAAGTTCATAATGTCCCAATTTAGTATCTGACTTGATCTTACCACATATTTTAATAATTCTGTAAAGGATCTCAAAATACAGTTTTCCTTATGATAGTATCAGGTCATTTCTTACCCCTGGAGATATTTCTGGAGCCTTCTGTCTTCTAATGTTGAAAGGTTTTCTGCTGAGCATGTTGCTCAGCTGTCACCCAGGTACTCCTTGCCCTTATCCAGAATCTACTTTTTCACTTCTGGTTCCTAGATTCTTCATTTTAGATTCTCTTGCTTGGTTTTCTTTTCTGCTCTCATGAAGCGAAGAGTGTAGTACATTTTTTTGAGGTTCAACCAGTACGTCTGCCCTCATATTTGTTGGACTGATAATCTAGCAAGATAAAGAATTCTTGGCTGAAAATCATTCCATTCAGTTTCCCTGGAGAACTTAATTGTGAGAGGCAACCAATTGATGTTTCTCTCTCACATTGATGTTTCTCTCCCTCTTCCCTTCCCCTTTCTCTAAAAGTAAATAAATTATTTTTTAAAAAATGAGAGTTACCTCATATTATCCATCATTTTCACCCAAGAGAAATGAAAACTTGTGTCCACACAAGATTCATATATTCATAATACCAAAATGTGGAGACATTCCAAATGTCCATTAACTGATGATATGATATACCAAATGTGGTATAGCCACACAATGGAATATTATTTGGCGTTAAAAAGAGATGAACAATTAATATGTCGCTACAGCATGGATAAGCCTTGAAAACAGTGCTAAGTGAAATAAAATAGTCACAAGTGATCATGTATGATTCCATTTTACAAGAAATGTCCAAAGTGGGCAAATTGAGACAGAAAGTAGGTTAATGCATATCTAAGACGGGGGGGGGGGGGGGGGGGGGAAGAGGTGGAGGGTTTCCAGGGTAATAAAAAATTTCTCAAGTTTGTTGGGGTACTGGACATAAAATAATTAGAACATATAAACCCATTTAATTTGTACACTTTAAACGGGTGAATTGTGTTATGTAAGCTATCTCAAGTTGTTTTTAAAAAGTATTACACAGTAGGTATACAATACATATTCATGAATTATTCATATAACCAAGGATATTGAACAAAACATACTAACGCATCCTTTAGTGTTTTAATGGCAGCTGAAGAAGAAAATGTATGCAATTGATTCCAGTTTTTTTAAAGGAAAAAAATTACAAGCTAGTTGGGTGCTGTGGTTTCATTCCTTTTTCTCCTATGAATTAATTACAAGAAGATTGTACCAGCTCACTGTCCACTCCCTGCTGAGGTCTGGAAAACACCGTCTGTTCCCTTTAGCTTCCAAAATGTTACAAATTGTCTAAACCTTCCCACAGGTAGTAAATGCTGAAAGGGTAAATTTTCCAAAGGTTCATCTCTTGGCATAACTATTTACAGTGATGTTTTGTTTGACTCGATGTTAATCAAAATGATAATCCCTATGTAATGAAATCTCCAAAATGGAATTAATGCATGCAAGTCTTTTATGTGGTAAGTAATGGGAGCAAATGCTGTTTAGCTATATGGGAAAATAAAGTTCATACTGACTGTTAGGGAGTCCTCTGCATTGAGAAAGAGCAGGGACTCAAAGGAAGCTCAAGGAACAGCATGGATTGTAGAAGATCCGTGTGTTGGCGCCTACTACCCACCTTTGCAGCCCCTCAGAATGGGGGCTGCAGAAACCCCAGAGAGCTGGTCAGGGAAGCAGCTTCTGGGGTTTTACGTCTCATCATCATTCCTGAAACAACACATTTAGATACTGAGAGCTGACATTAGGCTTTTCTTAGGGTAAAGTTCAAAGATCTCGTTTTATTTTGCCCTTGTTTTCTAGTAGCACTTGATGTCATTTTGGCACCTAGGTGCTCAGTAAGTGTTGAATGAGTGAGTAAATGAAGCGAGCGGGATGAAATGCACTCTGTCATTATCACCTGTGTCACCAGGTCTCCAGCCTTCCTCACTCAGGACTGCCACTATCACACTGTTTCTTTTATGTATGACAAAAATAGGGGCCATCTACCTTTGCCTGCCCAGACAGCACATGCGTTGCTCAAAACTTTATATCTTGAACATTTAAGCATTTGAAACTAACCATCAAGGGGAAAAAAAAGAATTGTACATTTTGGCAAAAAGGGAGAAATATTTAGAAATACGTTGGTTGACAAAATCTCATGTATTCTTGTAACTGAACACAGGTCCAGCTGCCTGTCTGTATGATAGCCAGTGCTTGACAGGCAGGTACTGATGTAAAGGAAACTGGTTTATTTGCAGATGTCGGCCATTTGGAAGAAGGACTCATGTCTCAAAGCCCATCCGCACCTCTCAGTGGAGGCAGAAGTTTTTATGAGGAGGAGAAGGGAACAGAACAAAGTGATCAAGAGAAGGGATTGTCAAGTTCTCTATGTGCAGACTAGCACAGTCCCCATTCCAATAAGGCAAGTGCTAGTTTGGCGTGCATCATCCCAGTTTTAGTCAGTTGTCTAGACTTCAGGTCATCCTGGCTCCATGGCTGAAGGTCAGCGAATCTCCCAGAGCTGAGATGCCTGAAGGTCGAGGTCTGTATCTTTAGAAGTTACTGTAGTTCCTAGGATTCTTATACAAACGTTGCTATTCATCTACAACCTACATATTAGTCCGAGTCCACACTTACAGAAACAATGTCAAAGGAATGGTGGGGTGGCCTACAGTTTCCCACTGTTTCCGTTTTCTACTGTTACATCCTAACTGACATATTGTTAACATCGTCTGCCTCTTCAAGTTATTTACTACATCTCTCATCATCCTCTTTTATGAGTTATTCTGACCCGAGTTATCAGAATACGCATATGTATGTGTGGAGAAAGAGGAGAGAGATTGCATGCGTGTACACTCTGTTGCCCATGAGACACATTGTTTTCAGAACAAGTGTAGTTACAGTGCAAGGCTACCTACTGGGACTCCCATCAACTCTGAAGCTGTTTCCCAGAGGCCATTGGTAATCCCCAGAGGACAGAGTTACACTGTGTCTTTTCTTCCTATCTCCAGAAATAGGTGATCATAAGAGAGCCACTATCTGACCACGTTCGAAGGCACTATGAGATTCAGTGTCCCTCTATGTCATTGTCCTTTGTGCTGGTAGACATCCTGCTCTGACATCCCGAGAAGGCAACACCTCCACCTTCCCCATTATCTCACAGCAATGAGAAATTACTGTAGCTTTTCTGGATGTAACATCCTGTCCGCATGTGTCTGGTCCCTATCATGTTCTAGCTAAAAAACACTTTGGACCTTCTGAGGTTTTTTGGTGACTTTGGTAAAATGACAAAAGAGGAAGAAAGCAAGTGAATCTGCTGCAGCTGATAAAGGAAAAAAAGAAGTCAGAACCGTGGCTACTTACAATCGGTTTGAGAAGCAGAAGGCTGAGGCACAGTGGTTCCTGGCCCTCTCTCTGCACCAGAACCCTGGGGAAGAGGGAAAAGGCAGGTGCCCAAACCCCACATGAGACACCCAGATTTCTTCCATCTGGCGTGGGGTCCAGGCATTTTGTAATGTAAATGCTCCCCGGTTGTTTCCAATGTGCAGCCAGACTGAGAACCTCTGAGACAGAAAAGGCTTGGGTCCAGGAGGCAGGCAGTTTCAGGTGCAAATAACCCCCTGGGACTTCTCTCGGCCTCAATTTTCTTAGGGGTCAATAGGGTTAATTGTAAATAAGACAGTGTCTGGCACTTAGTGCATGTTCAATAAATGGTCTAAAAATTAGGATGGAATACAATGCTGCCATTAAAACACAAATTTTAGAAGGGCTACTTAATTCTCCAAGAAGGTAATGATCGCTTACCCTCATTTGCTCCCCCCCTTCTCCCCACCACCATTGCCAGCTTCTGCAGGTACATACCAGGGCGCTATCTTCCTTTCTAAGGACATTACGATTCAGAGCAGCCTTGCTCAATCGTTGTGAGCAAATTTGTTTCTGTTGTGGTCTTCCAGGAAAACCGAATAAGAATCCCTAAGGGAGGTACCTGGCCTTCTGAATATTTAAAAAGCCCCCCACGTGATTCTAATATGAAGCCAGAGTTCTAAAGCACTTAATGAAATAGTGGACCTCAAACTTTGGGATGCATAAAAATCATCTGGAGATTTTTATTAAAATTCAAGATTTCTGGGTCTTACATTCAGAATCTGATCCCGTACGTCTGAGTAGGGGCCCAGAACTTACATTTTTAAAAAGCCTCAGTGCCCAGGGCCAGCCAGAGTCAGCTAGCAGCTTTAGGAAGGCGAATTGGTGAGACTTACCCTCAACTAATCAGAAACTCTCCAGTTGGGGCTGAGGAGACTCTGTTTCAACAAGCTGTCCAGGTGGTCCAGGTGGTTCTTGGGAATTTGGGGACCCTGCATCTGGGGTGGAACAAAATGCTACAACAAGACAGAAGGCAGCACCAGAAATCTGGGACCCCAGCCACCACCATGTCAAAGGCCTGAAGGCAGAGCCTGAAAAACCACCAGGAGCAGCAGAAGGGAAAAATGGGTGCTCCAGGGAAACTCGGGTCCTTCACCAAAAGGAGGGGGATGAATGGCAGAAAAAAGCATGGCTGTCCTACAGATGTGGAGGGCATATGCATGTCAGCACCATTTCTGAGGATGAACTAAAACGACGCATGTAGAAGTGTTTCTCAGTGTCTAGCACAAAAGTATGTATTCGGTGAATTGTATGATTTTCTTAAATTAAAGCAGAACATTGTAGCACTCAGAATAAGAGTTTAGGTAATATAACCTGTATGTTTCTGGTGTTAAAATGACTAAAGAAATTTATGTGATACAGGCAAACTTTATTTAATGCTTCATGAAGCAGAAGGTCTCCATCAGAGAACTGTATAATGGGGTGAGGGCAGAAAGCTTTCATAGAATAAAGAAGAGCAAGGGAGAGAAAGATAGAAAACGTGTGATTGGCTGGGGCCACACAGTCAACTTGACTTGAAATGAGAAGGAAACAGGAAAGAAGGAGACAGCCCAGAGCTGGCTGTGTGGTCATGCACTGGCTGCCTGGATAGACTGTTTCTGGTCAATTAGAGCATTTACAGGGGCGCGAAGGTTGTGTAAGTTTCAGTTTGCTGACCAGGTACCCCAGCCAGGCCCTGGCTCTGTCTTGGGCTTAGAAATGCATTTCGACAACGGGTTTTATGTTTATGTCTATGATTCATCTCAATTACTTTTTGTGTATGGAATGAGTTAGGGGCCAACTATGTTTTCTGTATAGATACAGCCCAGTGTTATAGCTGCCTTTTAAGAAAAGACTTTCCTTCCTCATGAAATTAACTTGGTCCCTCTCTTCCCACTTTGCCCACTCGTCGAGGTCTGGGCCTTTATCTCACACTCTGTGGTATCTGAATTAAGTGGGCTTTGATTCGGCTCTGAAAACTAGGGAGGCAAAGGACGGTGACTTGAACAAGTGTACCCACTGGTATTCCTAAAATACAAACCATCCCAGACTCACTGGCTGACGTCA